AACTGAACACTGCTGACACTATATAAAGCATTGGTTTTTAAAATAGAGGGTCAGCTGCATGGCAGCCCCATTAGTGCAGACATGCACACAGTCAGTATCTGATGAATTGAAAATAAACTCTTTACAGACAGCGCTAGACAAGGCAATACAATGATCTCCTTCTGAACTCTTAATGTATTTAAAGGTTTGATTTATTTTAAATAATAAAGAAATGTACTGGTTTAAATTCCTTAAATAAGATATCAGCAAAATAACTGGATAACTCAAAGGCTCCTACGCATTGCCCATGTTTAAAAGGAAAATAGATGTGGCAATTTGGAAGGAAAAAAATACAGACACCCTTGGTGTAGACAACAAAGAAATGTCATCCATCACTTTTAGTCAAATAACAGTTTTTGGAAGCAATGGAAGACAGGCTAAAAGCGCATCGAATGTACATTGGGCATAATGAGGAATCTTACAATTTAACTAGCTGTTAAGAAGTTGCTAAAGTTATTTTTCTCTGGAAAAGTTTAATTCTTTTGTGCAATCAATAGTAAAACTACTGCTAAACCTAGCTATTTGGGATCTTGCAAAATGGTTCTTCTTGACATTCACTAAACATTATTCAGAACCATCTTACAGTCTTCCATGAATAATTGTGTTGAATTTCCACAGAATGACAATAAAAGAAGCACTTTTTTGCTTTACAAGAAAATGCATTTATCTTGTTTGCAAAAGTTATGCTTTTCCTCATTTTTAAACCTAAAATAAACTAAAATTGACAAACAAAAAATTAAAAAAGATACTTTACTCTACTTTACTATTCAGGGGGTAATAACTGCTCTTTGAATTGTAAAGTTTGCAGATCCATGAACTGGACAGACTGAAAACGTGAAAACATTAGCTCTCAGGTAATTTATGTGAGCGACACAGAACATCTCCTAAAAATTCCTTAACATCTAAATTTTTAAAAGTTAAGGCAGAAACATGAGACCTTAGACTAAACTTAGTATTTTTTTTTGCAAATGCATAAATCACCTAAGGCAATGGATAAAGTGCTCTGCTGAATAACTTTTTAGACTGATTTGTTGTGGCAGACACACTGTATAAGTCACTGGAACAAGAGTTTTCACTATAAAATTCTGGCTTTCTGGATATATCTTGTGAACAGATTTATTACAAGATTTATGAGGAAATGGAGTTGTGCTTTTGTAATGTTTGTGGAGAGTATGTTTCTCAAGGACAATATTGCACCTAGGACATTCTTCAAAACATTTGCTTTGTTAAACTCAACTGTTTAGAGGCTCAGAGGAAATTTTTCAATGTTAAGACTGAAATAAGAATCGTTGGTCTGACAAATTTCATTGTTGAAATTTCTTCTACGCTTTTAATCTTTTTTTATTCAGTATATTTTTACTGCCCTGATTCATTACATGTTATCTCAGGGCACTTTACTAAGGCAATTCAAGTGAGGCATATTATCAGATTGGTTTGTTTTGTATCAAAGGATATCCAGCTCATTGACTTTGTAGAGTGTCTTCTGACTCTCAAAGGAGGCGGTCGCATTTTCCTGCTGCTCCTGCAACTCCCTGTTCTGTACCTGCTTTGCTGTGTCAAGCCTTTTCTGAGCCCTCTCTTGATATTACCCAAATTCAAACAATGGACCTGGTAAGTCGTTTTCTCAATGCAATTGATCAAATTTTCTCAACTGGACGACAGAGAAAAGGGGGCCCGTCCTGTCCCAGCAGGGATAGGGACATGGTGGGATACACCATGGACTCATGGAAGGCTTGGAGGATGGTGCATTTCACTATGTTGTCAGGAGAGGATGTGGAAGATGTGTGGCTGTTTGTATTTATGATACTCAAGATTTCTTCTCTTTGGATTTGAAGGATACCTGATGTATCTAAAATTACAGAGGATGTCAGCTGCGATGTGGGAATTGATCAGGCTACAGGCAGCAGTTGACATGCTCACAAAGGCTGTGAACGAGCAGGACCGTGAGCAGAGCCGTATTCTGGGTGTGATTGGGTGAAAGCTTGCTGCGGTGGTTGAACTCAAAGGTGAGGCGGGATAATATCTTGGATGTGTTCCCTTCAAGTCAGAAAATCCTTACAAATTCGGAATACTGGATTCGCCATGTGGAGCCCAGCGACAAAAGACTTCAAGGCTGTTGGAAAATTCTGTGCAGATTGCTCTCAAGACAACGTAATTTGGATTTCGGCTTCCCTCTTATCAAAACTCGCCTGCATGTTATGGCGGAAGGGTCCAGAAAAATGGCTTTGGACAGCACCCATGGACAAATTGAACGAACTTACCCATACACACATAACTGATGCTCAAATACCAGATTAACTCAGATGTGGCTCCAGCCTTCAAGGTTTTCCTTCTGCTGAAATGTTTTGTTTTACATGTACTTTTCTTGTGGTAAGTTGTTTTTTTATATATACACTATATTGCCAAAAGTATTTGCTCACCTGCCTTGACTTACATATGAGCTTAAGTGACATCCCGTTCCTAATCCATAGGGTTCAATATGACGTCGGTCCACCCTTTGCAGCTAGAACAGCTTCAACTCTTCTGGGAAGGCTGTCCACAAGGTTTAGGA